CCCATGTCAGGTCGGCTGGCTGAAGGGTCCATCCCCCCCCCTTCTGCTGCCCCCTCTCCTCCTCCTGTCAGAGTTGGGGGGGTCACCACCAGTGCTCCCTCTAAGCTGTGGAGTCTTGTGAGCAAAAATTCTACTTTGTGAGCTACTGGCACTAAAGTTGTGAGCGAGCGGTTTGGCTACTGCATAAATCAGTTTGCTCTGGAGCCCTCCTCCTGAGTTAAGACAAAAACGTGTGAGCTGGAGGCTAAAAAACTGTGAGCTAGCTCACACTAACTCAGCTTAGAGGGAGCACTGGTCACCACCTCCCTATCAGTGTGAAGGTGGTGGTAGTGGGAGCTGCTGATGGAAGCGGGCATTAGGGGAAGTGTAGGAATGGGAATGCCAGAGTGTATCTGGGAGTTCAGTCATTTTCCTTTGCCTGACCTACACTGTATTAAGAAATCATCTTGAATTTTCTACTCAGTTCTCCATGAGTTCAGATTTCTGAAAGACTCTGTACCCATGTTAGCCTTAGGACATCAAGTGATAATATTAAAATAGAGGGTGCCTGAATTAAGCCTTACTATAATGAATTTTTGGCTCTGGGAATCATTATACAATGAGAAAATGCATTGATATTTCAGTTGAAACAATTATATCTCACCTTTTCCCTGCCCAAAGGGGCTCAAATGTCTAACAAAACAGCGTACACCAGAAGGCCTTTGGGCTGAGGTTTCTTCCCCTGTTTTTGGTTTCAGGCAGTAACCACAGCAATAAAATTTCAATAATCAAAGCAAGCCACAGTAACTAACTGCACTGCTTTTGGCTACTTGCTAATATCGGGGAGGGGGGCATTTTCTTAACTCCTTCTGGGTGTCTGTTCTAACAGGACTATTCCACTGCAAAAAATGCCCATGAGACCCAAGGAACTGATGAAAAGGTGAAAGTTAGTACACAGGTCAGAAGAGAGAGTGCATATCAGAAGAGAGAATGTAAGAGCAAAGTGTGTGTGTGCATGCTTAAAAAACAGCCTTAATCTAATACCCGTCATAACCATAATATGGAATAGCATTCCGCTGAAACGAGCAGGCTGACATTCTACACAATGTGATTAGGAGGAGGCTGAAAAGGCAAGGTCTCCAACAAGTTATTTTTAGTATATTTAGACATCCATAATTTAGTATCTGTAATGTTATTGTTTAGGCAAAGAGTCATAATAATGAACATAAAACCTAGAGAAAAATAATCACATTAAAAATTGGATTATTCCATTTAGGGAAAATGTACAGAAGGAGAGTTCTTTTGCAATCCACCACACTCATGACTACATTCTCTTCATCCTGTGTGCTGTCACTGCAAATGTAGTAGTTCTATAATTTACACATTTCTCTTGATAACAAGAAGATACTTTACTTTAAACTGATAATTGTTTTAAATATGAGCCATGCAGTCCAAATATAAATGACTTTCTCAATTCAACATATATTGGACAGTAAACTAAATTATAGCATAGATCTTCAGACGTTTGAGAGTGACATAGGCAAAGTCACTGAGATATAAAGATCTTATTGTAATGCTGCTTGAGGGGTTGCATTTACATGGTTTGGAACTGTTCAGTGACAAAACCAGACCTGTGAAGACAAGTGTCTGATTATTAAAACAATTCTCTGATTAGCATCATTTTAATAAAGTGATAATATCAAGGGACTCCTGAGTTCTGACATCTTCAAGCCTTGTTGTGGATTCAATTTATGCTACTTGTTGATTATATACCTAAAACCATGAAATGTGGGTCATAGCTTACATTTTGCGGTTCTGAAACATCTGCATGTTACTTTTATCATAATAGCAGAACCCAATTATAATCATTAGAATAAGATCGATGGTTCATGTGTGCTACTGGAAAATATACCCTTTGCTATCATTAAAAGACCAGATCATTTACATAAAAATGAAATTAAAAGAGAGGCCATATGCATTTTTGTCTCAATTCCCTGCTAGTGCTGATCTCACCAGAGAGCTGTCCTTCAGTTTAATTCAGTGGAATGAATTTAATTTACATAAATAAATGTCTGTTGCTGTTAGTGTTCCATAATTTACAGCATTATCTATTTTAATTGATCTAGTCAGATCAGAACAGAAACCTTTATTGGCATAACATAAGTAAACCAGGCAAGGAGACATTTAAGGGGTAGTATAAGAACAACATCAACCAATATTCCCGATATTCCAAAATACAAGACAATCCTAACATGATTTACAAGAATTACAGAGTATTACTCTTGATTTCCATACGTAGGTCAAAAATTCAGCGACAGATAGTGTTATTGCTGGGCTCTGGTCTGCTAAAAAAAATTTTAAATCCCTGTCCAGAAAATCTCTCTGCGAAGGGAGGAATGATCTAGTCAAAAGATCTGCAAGATCTACAAAAGCCACATAAAGATATTTCTCAGGGCCTTAAGCGTATTGAATATGGCCTCAGTGTGCAGATGGGGAGAAATTTCCACAAACTTGGGACAGCCACTAGGGTTGCAGGAAAAACTGCAAAGTGATAAATAAACAATAAAACTACAGTTGATTTGTTGAACATAAGTAGTTTCATATATGAAATTATATGGTGATAGAATATTTTAAAATATTTAAGGGGAAATGTAGCAATGAAAAGCTGAATCTGACAGGAACAATTGGGAGGGTGTAGAGCAGGGTTTTTCCCCCAACCCAAACTGAACTTACAAAAATGAGATAGCCATTTTGGAGGTTGCCTAGCAACCCCATTAACTAGGTGAAATGGCTGCATCTGTGGCAGGGCTAAGGTAACAAGGGCAAGGAGGGCAAAAAAGAGGAAGAGGCAGAGGGGCAAGAAGGAAGGAGGAGGAGGCAGCAGAGGATAAGTGGGAGAAAAGTGGTGGCAAGGGGGAGGAAGAAGCACAAGGGGGAGGCAGAAATACTGGTGTAAAAGTCTACTTTTTGCTCCTGAAAGACTCCTCACACAAACACATGAAGCTTCTGTATGCTGAGTCAGACCATTGCTTTATTAAGTTCAGTATTATCTACCCTGAGAGGCAGTGGCATTCAAGTGAATGTCATTCATATAAACTACGACCTGATTCTTTAAAATGGAGATGCCAGGGATTGAACTGGGGCAGGGCTGCTGAGAACCACCATGGGACCCCATTCATCATTGGTGATTAAAACAGAGTGGTTAAAATGTGGAATTCACTGCCAGAGGACGCAGTGATGGCCACAGGAATAAACAGTTTTAAAAGGGGATTAGATAGATTCATGGAGGACAAGTTTATCAATGACTACTAGCCATGGTGACTGAGGGGAACCTCCACATTCAGAGGCACTTAGCCTCTGAATACCAGAGCCAGGAGGCAACATCAGGGGAAGGCCTCAGCCTCTATGTCCTATTGTTGGCTGACCAGAGGAACTAGTTGGATAATATGTGAGACAGAATGCTGGACTAAATGGACCATTGGTCTGATCCAGCAGGGCTCTTCTTATGTTTTTAGGGTATCTAAATCATCCTAAATCTTTTCAGCATGAAAAGCCTGGGATTCAGATGCACTAGCCGAAAAGCATTTGGCCATATTAACTGAACATCTAAGAGAAATCTTGCCTAATCAGGACTTTTGGTTGGGCAGTGACTGACACAGTCAGCTTGTTCAGAAGCTCTGAGGATTTTAAAGTTTTTAAGTCTTTTAGAACTTCCAAAGTGTGAGAGAACCTGAATACTTCAGCCAGATCAACTTGCGGAACTCAGCTTATTCTTCTCCACATGTTAACATTTCAAACAATGGGGCTGAAAAGAGCAGACCTTTTGAGGGGGAGGACACAATTCCATCATTTAAGCAATCTAAGTTAGAAGACTTCTATGCCCTGATTAAACTTGAAAATAGGTTTGATTGTTTGGAGGATGATGTTGAGGGTTCTGATTGTTTAATCAGACTAACTGCTTCAAAGGAGGTACATGCCTTACCCCTATCACCCCTAACAAACCCCATCACCCCTAACAAACATCCAGGCATCCTGAGGAGTTGGAGTTATTAGCTCGCCAAACAATCTTGATGGTGGAATCTCTCCAGAAAATTCTTACTCAACAAGAGAGGATTTTATTCTTGCTGCAGGAGAGAGATAGAGGTCTTGTAACAAACAATGTATCATGCCCTTTTGGGCCGAATAAAATAGAAGAAACCAATAATGAAGAGATTATAGCTGCACTGACAAAATCTGCTGAGCAGACATTAATCAAATTGAAGGACACTAGGAAGGATTTCTTTTTGCTACTATATGATCCCAACAGTGTTGTTTTAAATGTTTTTTCCATTGAGGAGGAGATTCATTGATTGGAATTCAAAAGGGAAGGCGAGAGGACATCTGGCTGCCATTCCTAAGACAGTTCCAGAGTCTATTGATCTTATCAAGATGAAAAGACTGGCTGGCCCGATCTGATTTGAACGCTTCCTTTTATACTTCCATACAAAGGGAATTCCTTCATACTTGTTTGCACATACCTCCAGATTATCTGCACTGGGAATTAGGTTACAAAGACATTTTAGAAATTCTACAACTCAGAGGCTAGTCTGGAAGACAGAATTAACCAGTCCTGAGAAGGTTACTAAAAAATCATCCTAAAAGGTTACTAAAAATCATGCAGTGACAGCAGATTCCATAAATCCCCCAGTAGACCAACTAACACCTTCCAATTTACTGTCCCCGATAAAGGCACTGGGCTCAAAGCTGTCTAATCCCTTCACAAAACTAATAAATTCAGTTTTATTAAACACTGAAAGCAGATCTGCCATGGAAAATCTGGATAGCAACTGGCCAGAAGAGGAGGTCGAAGCTAACCTTCTTTCCTCCTTTGCAACGTCACCACCAAGTGACCAAGATTCCTTGTTAGGCTGCCTAGAGCTTTTGATAACCATCTTGAAGGGCTTAAGATGGACTTCTGATGATGGGGAGAGGGTGACAGGTACCAGCGACAGTTCTACCAAAACTTCAAAGACGTTCATGAGTTAGGTGGCTTCTGCTTTCTTGGACTCCCTTTGGAGCCCACCATAATAATCAACAAAGGGGGCCTCATATTCCAACTTGGTTATTCCACCAGATGATCCCGAATTATGTATGATAGTTGAAGAAACTACAAGTAATGTGGAGAGCATTACCTCAAATCATCCCAGCATCGAAGCACCTAAAGCGTGACGGTTTCTAAACCAGCACAAAAACGGGAAAGTAAATTCCTTGGGAATTATATCTTGTCTAATCCTTATACCTATGTTAAAACCATACTTAGTTGAGCATGAGCAGTTTCCTTTGAGAAAAAATAACATTCAGATTATATGGTGGTGGGAAGTTAAAAAAAAAATCCTATCAATTTATAATCAGCCCCTCCTATACATAGTCTTAATTTAAATACTAGTCTCATAAATGCAATATATTACTGCAAATTGGTTTTATTTATTTATTTGGTTTATGTCTCTTGGATACAGATACTCTGAAATTCAGTAAAGTATTCAAGAAACTCTTTCTCTAACAGCTTATTACAATATTTCTTTAAGATCAATAACAAATTTTAACAGATTCTGTCTTAACATGTTACTGTTCATACTGATCAATGTATATTGTTAATTTCTGATGTTCCAGAGGGCATTTAGTGGTGAGTAAGCTGTTTTAGCTGTATTAACTCTGTGCAGTGGTTTTTTAATTCTGCTTTGATTTTGTATTGCTTTTAACTTGCTGGGCATCTAATATAATCCTAGTAAAGTTTTGTACGTCAAATTGTTTGTATCTGCTTTTTGATCACTAGATAATAGTATGTACATATTTTAAAGGATTGGGCCAGGTTATTTTCTACTTTCCTAGTCCCTTTCTTCTAAGCCAAGTCCCCATTAGTTGCTTTAAATCCTTAATTATGGAATTGTGTACTATGAACCTGTATTGTACATGATAGATGGTTTATTTTAATGGAGGAGGAGAGAGGTCCTTGGAGGGAAAGTAGGATAAAAATTTGATAGAGGTTTTCCCCTATTTTTGACAAAACACCTATATGCTCCTACTTTCTCATTCCTAAGACTGAAAGCAGCTGCAAGCTCCCTTGATTTGTCATTGGATATGAATGAGAAATGCCCTCAACTGAGTGATAATTTTCTATCTGATTTAATACCTAGTTCTGGCTTCTTAAATGATTAATATTATTCTGGGATTTCTTCTCCAAATATGGCTGAGCACTATACCCTTGATTATATTCTGTTTATACTTTACCAGTGTGGTAATTACTGTTCTATCATACTGTCTTTCAATACTTCATCTTCTGTTATGAACCCATGTTCTTAGAAGAGGCCCTATCTTCAGGAGATGTTTTTCCAATGTATTTTAAAAAAATATAACAGAATCATTTTGTCCTAGAAACACAGACTTTTCTGAATGTGTTTCTCATTTGCTGTTAGTATTCCTTATTCAGTAATTGTGTACTTAAAATTTAGTGTACGGTAGATGTACACAACATCTGCTCAATTATTTTAATTTCCAAGATATCTCTTCATTAATCTCCCTATCAATAGACCATGTAATGTGGATAACACATCATAGGAATTATTTTTCCTCTTCTGATGGTTAAATTTGCTGCAAAGAATTGGTTTAAATTGTCCATTGAGCCTTCATCACTCTATAATCACTGTGATCGCAGTTTCAAGAGTGAATCAAACCGAGTTAATGCAGAATCAATACAACAATTGCCTTCTGTATTTGAGTAGAGAAGTATGTACAGTGTCTCTTGGGAAAGATTTCTGAGGGGCATGTAAGAAATCCAAAATGTTTTTGTTTGGTGGCAGATGACTCATTGGTAAAAATCACCCCGCCCCCAGGTGCATGTGCAAAGGTTTTATGGCATGAACCAACTCTATATACCAGGTCAGCCATTAATATTCTAGAATGTTTACATGGTAGACAAGCGGTGGCTACAAGAAACCCATCTAATTGTGCAAAATACAAAAGAATAATTTTGCTAACTGGAGATATCAGAATTTACTCGGATGCATCCAGTCATCAAATGATAAGCAGTCTGTTCACAATCAGTGGTCAGACTGTAAGTCAAACTGGTGGGCATTCTTTTATAACTAATAATTACACAAACTGAACTGGCTTTTTTAGGCTGATTGATATATTACATTGGCAATGTGGTATAGTGGCCTTGAACCAAGAGGAAAGGTGGGGTGAAATATTTAAATAAATAAATGACTGTTGGACTATGATTGGGAAGACCCACTCTACCATGGAAGCTTGCTGGGTGACCTTGGGCCAGTCATATACTTTCAGTCTAACATACCTCAAAGGGCTGTTGTGCAGATAAAATGGAGAGGAGAATAATGTAAGTTACTCTGGGTTCCCATTGGGGAGAAAGCAAGTGTGGTGCTCCTTGTCCACTCACACAGAGTGCCTACCACCCTCCCTAACCTTTCTCTCAAGTTCAGGGATATCAATGTCAGAATATCACAAGCTACCCTTCTTATCTCTTTTAAAATATACAGAGAGCCATGACCATTTCACACCTCAGGTTCTCTCTCTCACTGGCAGAGACATCCACAGATAGCCACAGACATCCCAACCCCCTCACTCACACACAGAATACTGGGGCTCAAACAGTGTTCCAATCACTTGCTGCCACCATTTATTCATATCCTATAATATACAGAAAGAGAGTTAGAAGTATTAAATCCTGCATGTGGCTCTTTCTCTTAGACATACAGCCCACAAGGCTAATCAAGACAAGAAAGTTTTTATGATAGGAACAAAACACTGAGGAAATGAAGGTATAAGTAATAATGTTTCATGAATTCCGGTTTCGGTGACTTTCATGGCAGGTGCCCTCCTTCAGTGCTCTGAAAAGAGTGGCCCATGATACGGCAGATGGGAGGAGGGCTGGTTGATCTGGACCCCCCCCTGAAATCCTTGGAGGGGACTCCCAGCCTGGGACGTTGGAGGCCACCTCTCCTGAGGCTGTGGCCAAGGAATTGAGGCACCTCCAAGCCCCGATAGGTCCCGTTACCGCGGCGCCATCATGGCACCAAGAGGTGTACACTGGGTGAGTGAACAAGTGATCCCACAAAAATAAAGCTCTCCCTACCTTCGCAGCAGACATGGAATGAAGCTTGAGTGCAAATTTCTCTTTGACAGGCTATCCGGCAAAGCATATATCCAAAGCACCCGAACGGCATTGAGCTAGCTCACATCTCTCCCCCCGTACATCTTTAAGCGAAATTGTCTAGCAAGAGGGACTAGGAGAAATGCTGATGGTTGATTGAATCAGGCAAAGTATAAATTTAATTAAAGCAAGCTTTTGAAGCAACTTTTGATGACTTTTGAAAACTTTCCTTAAAATATAAACAATGGCTGGGTGGGGAGAAAAGTTGGTGACGAGACTGAGATTCTCCTGGAACTACAAGACTAACACATCCAGCTACTAAACCAGAAGTAAACATTGACTTTTTGAACATGTTGGCTACTGCATTGCACCCTCTGCTGGAGCAGATGACCAACACCAACAAAAAGTTGGATGAGATCCGAAAACAGCTTAAAGAGATGAGTTTAAAAACAGAGGAGACAGTAAAATCAGTGAAAAGGGTTGAAGCTAAAGTAAAAGAGACTGATCAAAGACTGGAGGTGATGGAAAAACAAAGATCTTCTGATAAAAATCAACTTTTAAGACTACAAATGGAAAAATCAGTGTATGTTCTGAGATGAGAATCTGAAACAGCAAGATGAGAATCTGAAAGAAATACAAAGTGAAGCGCTGGCCCCAATGACAGCTTTAACGGCGGACACATTGCAAAGCGATTTGGACCTAGTCTATTGGCCATATCCAGAATTTATTAAGAAAAAGAGCCTGCTTGGGGAGATAGTTGCGAGATTCTCTAAAAGATCAACAAAAGACGTGGTGCTCAAGGCCACAAATGGAACTACCTTAAAAATCAAAGAAGAAGAAATCAGAGTCTTAAAAGACATTCCATTTGAAATAAGAAAGAAGAGGATACAATACAAAAATTTAACCAGCTTCTGGTAGAGAAACTCTACCCCCTACAGATGGATAGTACCCGAAGGAATGGTCTTCAACTACAAAGATAAAAAAGAAAAGATAGACTGTTTTAAAAGCGAAATTGTTCTTGGAACTGCAACAAAGACCAGCGAACAAAAAGATACAGCAGAGGAACAAAATATCGAAGAAAAAAGCAGCACACATGAGACAGAAGATTCAGAATATACAGCGAGTAGTAACCCAGAAGAAGACTCTGAATCAGAATTAGGGGAGGCAGCCCCAAAAGTCCTGAAAGTCAAATGGAAATATGAAAAGAAGAAAGATAAAGAGAAGAAACAGATTATCTGTATCTACTTGATTCAATTATATAATTACCAGTCTGTAATAGAAGCAGTAGAAATTAGCTATATTCCAAAAACATTATATTTAATCTGACAATGGTATTGTAATATGATGTGCATATTGATCTTTGAAGAGCTACAGAAGTGTTCTTGCTAACAATTTTAATTGGCACTTTTCAGCATTACACCTTGTTCATTTTGAATACCGTCACTGAAAGAAACTAGAGCTGATGGATCAGAAGAGTTCAAGGTTACACAGTAGAATGCGATCTTGGGCCTGAGGTATAGAAAAATGTCAATTATATTTTACAATCAACACTGTATTATGCAGCAAAATGTAATGAAATAATAAAAATGGAACGTGGAATAAAAACAGAGGGTTTATTGTCATGTTGGGGGGGGAACCTGGGAAATTATGGAAAAATGAGAATTTAAACAGCTTGTACTGACAATAGAAAGTGGGGCAGCTTCAAAGATAAAAAAAAGTATTATGTTCCGTACAATGAGGGAAAAGCTTGGGAAAAAATCTGTATATGACAGCTTTGGTTCTCTCATTTTTAAGGATGGAAAAAACAATCTTATCTTTGTTTGAAATGCCAATAGCTGGACCTCTCTCCAAATCTTATATGTCATATCGATCCCCAGTGTTCATTCCAGAATTGTCTTGCCAGTCCACAGCTATGTTACTTTCTCTGCACTGGGGGGGGGGGAGATGTAGAGTTGGGACAGCCTAAACCCACAAACAGATTTAACTTCTATGCATAAATCTTATGAAAAGATGTTGCTGAATGTAGCTTTTCTTCCCTCCTCCAATTCATTCAATGTTTCTGCTTTTGTTCTTATTTGCCTGGGATCTGTTCATTAAAGGTCTGTGTTTTGACTGGGCTGTAGGTCTCCATATCACTCAGTTTTTAATGGTCAGCTTTAACAACCATCTTGATGGTAGCAAAGATCATGTTGGATCCAGTTAAAGGAGATTTAACCGTATCAGCAGCCTCTATGGATTCTGCTTGACATGACCATGGAAGGTTAACTGCTAACCCAATCTCAAGGACTCAGCAACAGGAAGGACTCCTCAGGAGGACTCCTCAGGAGAAGAAGAGCCTCAGGAAATCAGCTCTGAACCAGCAGAAACCAGCAAGCAAGAAGATGAGCTGCAGGCTTGTCAAAGTTCACAGCTGACAGCTGATGCAGAGCAACCAGCACCTTCCAACCCCATTCTAACAGAGGAAACCCAGATGGTCATTACCTACAGTTTCACCCACAACCTTTGAGCACAGAGATGAAGGCTTAGAATGGAGCTTCAAGAAAGGAGACAAAGCGCCAGCTACTTGCTGATTATGAGTAGCTGCAGGGTTATTCCCAAGCAGCTGGCTGCAAGTAAGACCTTCCAGCAGAGGCCTTTAAAAGCCAGTGAAGGGAGATTGCTTGATGTGGAAGCAACAAGTCACCAAACTCTTGACTCAGTGACCACAGTGCCGAACTCTGCTTTGCAACCCTTGGACTGGCTCCTGACTCTGACCTTGGACTGTTGAACCTTGCTTCCTGTATAATGTTCTGAACTGGTTGCTACTCTCTTGGTAACTGACCTTTGGACTGAACTTTGACCCTGGAATTTGGCTCGGACTGATCCTAGATTCTGACACTAAGCAGGATTGGCTCTTGTTAGTATCTGAGTGGGAGACTGCCAAAGAAGCTCAGAGTCGCTACACAGAGGCAGGCAATGGCAAACCACTTCCAATCGTCTCTTGCCTTGAAAACCATAAAGGGTCACTATAAATTGGCTGTGACTTGACAGGACTTTCCATCACCACATGCCATTTCACAGGTAATAGGCAAAATGTAAGGTTGCCTTCTGATTCCATTAAAGCGTCTGGAAAAAAATCCCACTAACTTTCATATAAACAAGATTTCTTTCAAACCATCTCTAGAACTCTTTTCCATTTGTAGAAACTACCATTTTAAAAATTATGACCTTATTTAATAAGTGTGTGCTGCTTTATTTTCTGCTACCCAGATGGCAAATAAAATATTCAGCAGGTCAGTGTAAGGTGCCTATGTTGTTTTGCTCAGGAAGCCTGTGGATGGCCAGATAATCTGCAAACACAGGGGGGGAAACCGTAAATGACAATCTGTTTCTTTTATTATGCCAGTGATTCCAGGGCTGAGCCACCTGCAAATTAAAGTAACCCATACTGCCCATTCTGAAATGTTTCTGGACTCTTGCTACTCAGAATCTGGTTGTGAAAGACTGGATGTGAAATATCTCATGAAAGTTGCTTGTAAAAGGCCATATGAACTACTCCATTTACCCTTATCTGCTGAGGCCAGCCAAAGTTCAGGTCACCACCAAAGGCTGTGACCCTCGGCATTATTGGAAGTACTTGCACCATGTTGAAGGGTAGGATTAATTAGTCTGTTTTAGTGAAGAAAGATCAGGTAAAGAACACTGCTGATAATGGTAATATTTTGAATGTTCAAAGTGATTAACCTACCCATTCTTGTCATAATCCTTGCAACAACTATGTTATTTGGTCATTGTTATTATGTTGGAGGTGGGGAAGAGAGGCTGAGATACAGCAGCTTACCTATGGTCACCTATCAACTTTACCTGCTGAGGTGAGATTTCAATCAGCTCAGCCTTTCTTTTGTCACAACACAGTGTCTCTCTGAGGTATGCCAACAATTCAGTCCCAAGCAGAATTATGGCCTTCTAAATCCTTTGAGTGGAGCTGTTGTGGCTCAAGTGGTTAAGACGCTGAACTGCAGGCTGTGGAAGGGCGATAGTTCAGCAGTTCAAGACCCGGGTGCCGCAAGACAGGGTGAGCTCCTGTCCCTAGTTCCAGCTCCTGCCAACCTAGCAGTTCGAAAGCAAGGAATTGCAAGTAGATAAATAGGTACCACTTTGGTGGGAAGGTAACAGCGTTCCGTGCGCCTTGGTGTTTAGTCATGCTGGCCACATGACCACTGAAACGTCTTCGGACAGCGCTGGCTCTTCGGCTTTGAAACGGAGATGAGCACCGCAACCCTAGAGTCGGATTCGACTGGCTTTCGAGCAAGGGAACCTTTACCTTTACCTTTACTAAATCCTTTGAAGGCACTGGATTTAGGAGGGTGTAACTGTGTAGGATTGTGCTGTCAGCATAGTGTTGCATTTCTTCAATGTGCAAAAAGGATATTTTATATTTTGCCACACAGCAACCTTGATCCATGCTCAGTGCTCGAATGTAAGTGCTGCAAAATGACACTATGCGTTTCATGTACATCATCCAATCAGTGGGGGAAACAAATTGTTACCACTTCCCTGATGTCTTTACTCAGCTATGAGCTAGCTTTCTTTTGCTGAGATGTTGGGAATGGAAAACCACAGATTCATCTCCTTTCACATGAAGCTTACTTAATTGCTTTGGGCATTTTGCTATTTCCCAGCCTATCCCATTTTCAAAACATTGCGGATTATTTCTTTATTTGATTTATTATCCTTCCCTACCTCTGAAGAAACCGGATGACTAAAGTAACCAGAACATTTACTTTCAATTAAAAAAAAAATCAGCTGCTAAAAAAGATTAGAACCCCTCAGCCCCAAAATAACTGTCAAAGAAGGTATTAATGCTGAAGGAAAGAAGCAGCTCTGCGGTCATAAAGAACACTTCTGTGTGTGCCATGACGGTTTGTTTGCGGGTGGAAGAAAAGCCGCTATCTTATATCAGCTGTGAGAGACTGATTTAGAATTGCCTTTTCTCTCCATTGTTTTATGAAACCCACGTTGGAACAGAAATTCCCCTCTGCATTGCATGCTACCATCACTTCCTTTGATCATCGGATTTTATTGCACCTTCTGCATAGATTTATGGCTGTTTTATGGCTGTTCAGGGGTGACTTTGCAGTCAGTACAGCATTGCCCCGAGGTATTTGAATGTGGTTTTAAGCTGCACTTTTTCCTCCCAGTTGAGAAAATGTGGAGCAAATGCTAGATGCAGAATCGCCCGGTGTGAAGTAGAGGTTAGAGTGTTGGAATAGACTTCGAAGTCCTGGATTCAGGTCCCAGTAAGCCTTGAAACTCACCGAGGGACTTGTAGCCAGTCACTTTTTTCAGCATAATCAACTTCACAGGGTTATTATGAGGATAAAATGGGAAGGGGGAAAAACATGTAAACTGCCTTCTGCTCCTTGAAGCAAGGGCAAAATAGAAATGTCATAGATATGTAGACACTGGTAATTGGAGTTCATAGGTGCTGTTCCATCATATTAGCACAGAATTATGGGAAACAGATGCATCTCTATAATGAGCACAAACCCATGATATCAAGTTTGACAATTGCCTTACTGTCCGTCATGCCACCTTAAGGGAAAAGAGGGGAGATTATACAATTTATAAAATGCTGATGGTCAGCGTTGAGCATCTAGATTACAAAGTATTGAATGATCTGTAAAATAAAAATGCATATTAAAATCTAGAAAGCTCTTCACTTTCTACAATTGATTTTGTGGCCTGAGTAACAGTCAGGTTTTAAATGAACATTATTTAGTGCACTTGTACGTTTATTACTTAATAGATAGAGTGCCTGAAGAACTATGGACGGAGGTTTGTGACATTGTACAGGAGGTAGCAATCACCACCATCCCAAAGAAAAAGAAATGCAAGAAAGCAAAGTGGCTGTCTGATGAGGCTTTGCAAATAGCAGAGGAAAGAAGGAAAGCGAAAGGCAAAGGTGAAAAGGAAATATTTTCCCAACTAAATGTCGAACTCATTTGTTATGAGGGCTGGATCAGACATAAATGTCTCTTTGTCGGGTCGGGCCAGGCCATGTGTGCCATAAAATGTAACACGAGGTACCGGATATATAAACTTTATAAAGATGATTTCAGATGCCAAATGGCAGTAGGCAGCTTGATCGGATTGGGTGTGATATGCAGAGGGGTAGTAGGCGTGGAGATATCAGCACTGGTAATGAGACAGGAAACCTAGGTCTCAATTTGGTACAAGAGGATTCAGTCCAGGAGGATGCAAAGAATAAATGAAAATAAGACTGAAGAAGTGAGCAGTGACTCATAAAAGCACATACCCTACAACAAATTTTGTTAGTCTTTTTTAAAAAGGTGCTACTGGACTCTTACTTTTTCTACTGCTATTCGAAACTGCAAGATTCAAAAACCAGTGGGGGGACATTTTAACCTTCCAGAACGTTCAGTTGCCGACCTAAGAGTAACAGTTCTCTTACAAAGGAATTCCAAAGGGAGATTAGAAAGAGAGACTGCTGAATTCCAACTGATCATGAAGCTCAATGCAGACTCCTGGACTGAATCAAGACCTAGGTTGTTTCTCTCATTACCAATGCCTGCTATTGTCATTCGGCGTCTGAAATCACTTCATTCTCCAAGATAGAAGGAAAGATGGACTCTCATTCTAACTGTATCTGAAGAAGTGAGCAGTGACTCATGAAAGCTCCCACCCTGACAGAAACTTTGTTAGTCTTTAAGGTGCGAGTGGACTCTTGCTCCCTTTCACTAATAAGGAATGCAAACTGTACCGTTAGGTTTCTTCACCCCATCTGTTAGAAATGGAAAGGGAAATCCATATAGCTCTCTCTCTCGCTCTCTCCCTCTGTCTCCCTCTCTCTCTCTCTCTCTCTCTCTCTCTCTCTGGCATGCTCTCTCTAGCTTCCCCCCCCCCCCACCCCTTCAGGCATGCTCTCCCTAGCTTTCCTCCCCTCTCTGAAGACGTGTGCAAGCAAATAAAAACTTATACCTGGAATAAAACCCTGTTGATCTTACACAGGACTGTCTTTCTCTCTGGCATGCTCTTCCTAGCTTCCCCCACACCCGACCCCAAGAAGTGTGCAGTCAAAAAAAAGCTTATACCTGGAATAAAACGTTGCTGGGACAAGGCCTGTAGCCAGGATTTTTAAAGTCAGGGTGCATTTAAATTTCTCAGGGGGCACTGACTAATCAAATTAAAGGAACACCCGGCTCCTTCCTTCAGTATTCCCAGAACGAGCACCTTTAATGGACCCTAAATACTCCTTTTAGCTGGGATCTTTCATATTCAGCACCTGATTGCTATCCACTACAGATTTTCCATATATTTTGCATGTTCCTGTTATACTTGGACTTAGGAAAGAAAGAGAAGTTACTTATGAATGCTAATGGTAGATAACTGCCAAAAAATCCAAGAAATACTGCAACACAGCAAATGAGCGTTTTAAATGTCCTTAATCATGCTTAACTGAATTCCCTAACGAAAACTCAGGGACTAATCAAATTAAAGGAATACCCAGCTCCTTCCCCGCACTTGCCACCACTCGGGGGCCCTGGGCTAGATGGGAAGTCGTGGGGCCTTGCCAGTGAGTCAGGGGGCATAGCCCCAAGATGCCCCACTGTAGCTACAGGCCAGTGAGTCGGGGGCCTAGCCCCAAGATGCCCCACTGTAGCTACGGGCCTGGCTGGGACTGACTCACTCACTGTCTCTCTCTGGCATGCTCCCCCAACCCCCCGAAGAAGTGTGCAGGCAAACAAAAACTTATAGCTGGAATAAAGTGTTGCTGGTCTTCTTGAAAGTGCTACCAGAGCCCATTTTTTCTCCCTCTCTGGCTCTTTACCTCCCCCCTCGAGGGGGAGGAGCCCTCAGACAATCAAAGGAAGGCTTTTCCCCCTCTCCTCTGCCCAGCAGGAAATAGGAGAGATTGGGGGAAAGGAGGTGCGATGCCAGAAGCAGGAAGGAGGAAGCAGCAGACTGCCGGGTTGTTGGTGGGCCAGATAGGAGTCCCGCAGGGGCCGGATGTGGCCCACAGAGGCCAAATGTTTGACACCCCTAGGATAAGGGATAGTAGCTACAGCACACTAATAGTGCCAATCCTAAACAGGGTTATACCCTTCCAAGTCTACTGAAGACTGGTTAGGATTGCACTGTGAAGCTCTGCACCACGGACAACAGCAGCTCCCTCCAAACTTTGCTAGATAAACAAATTTTAGGCAGACATTAAACTGCTGCCCTGAATGAGACTATCAAGCTCTCCTGTTAGGCTATAGAGCAGTGGTGGCGAACCTATGGCACCAGACCATCATTAAAGTGTCGAATTCTCTGCCAAATAATTTTAAGTAAATGAAACCATTTGGGATTGCTTTCCCTAACTACTTTGTTTGGGTCATCTTAAGTTAATGTATGAGTTGTCTTTTCTAAAGTAAAACCTTAGTACTCAGGTTAAATTGCCGTGTTGGCACTTTGTGATAAATAAGTGGGTTTTGGGTCGCAGTTTGGGCACTTGGTCTCTAAAAGGTTCGCCATCACTGCTAGTGCAGGGAGTGCCAAGGCACTGGGTCTGCTCTGGGATGGGAGGGGATGCAGAGAAGGAGAAGCCAGTGGGACTGGGTCAGGAATAGCCATTATTGCGTGAGACTCCGGCTGCCCTGGACAGTGAGGATTCCTCATCTGACCCTACAGTTTCTGGAGAGTGGTAAGGCAGGAAGACAGCTAAGATTACAGCATCCTACACAGAGAGGTGAGCTGGCCATGAACTTACCTCAGAAGCTTTCTGAACATCTTCAAGGAGCTGTGCTGCTGATGGCCTCTTCTCTGTGTATCGTTCAAAGAGATAGTTTTGCCTCGCTCTTTTTATGATCTGCAACACAAGGAAATACATCCTGAAGGCGAACGTCAGAACGGTTTGAGCTTGCAGAACACCTCCAACTTCAAAAAAGATTCAAGGGGCATTCTGACAGATTAAATTACACATAATGACCATATTCTAATGAAAACTCAGGGACTACCATGTGCAGAATTGACCTTCCCCTTCCCATCTCTAAATGCAGAATGCTTCCTTAGTTGTATGTATCGCCATCTGTACATTTATTCTGAAATGCTATGTGAGATACTATCTTTTAAAATATCAAATCTGACACCCCTACGGTATGCCCACAAACAGCTGGAATATTTGCAAAAAAGAGAAAGAGCAGCCCTGAGGAATCAGGACAGTGGTCCATCTAGTCCAGCATCCTGTAGCAGGTATAAATAAATCTATATAAGCATGGGCCTTATTTTCATGAGCTATCTAGTTCTCTGGGGCACTCAATTATGTGCCAATTCACTTCCCTCTGTGCCACTTCTGCCAGTTAGAATTTTACTTGCCTGGAGAATGGGAACTATTTATTGACTTCAGGCAGAAGATTCAGCTCCTGAGAATTTCAAACCCATTTGTTTCCCGTTGAAATTTCTACTTGATTGATATTCTAATACTGCTATAATAATAATAAGAAGAAGAGATTGGATTTATACCCTGCTCTTCACTACCCAAAGGAGTCTCAGAGCAGCTTACAAATTCCTCTCCCTTCCCCTCCCCACAACAGACACCCTGTAAGGTAGCCGGGGCTGAGAGAGCTCTGACAGAAACTGCTCTTTTTCAAGGACAGCTCTTATCAGAACTATGGCTTGCCCAAGGTCATCCAGCCAGGTGCAAGTGGAGGAGTGGGGAATCAAACCCGCTTCTCCCAGATTAGAGTCCGCGCACTTAACCATGACACCAAACTGGCTCTTAGTTCTTAAATGACCTTTCCATCCCTGCCATATCCCTGACCCCTGGCCCTGCAAGAAGCCCTCAAATTAGCCCCCCAGTCCGCATTCTCCTACTGAAATCAAGCTAAAATAGACAGAAGTGATAATCCCAATGACAGAGTGAGCATTCGGGCTACGAGTAGATTCAAAAATATTAAAAAAAACAGTACCAATTTAATGTAGACCTGCCAGCCTCACTCCGGAATGGAAACAGCGACATTTCACATTTACCTTATCGTCGATATCTGTAATATTCATACAGTAGAAGACATCGTATTTGAAATAGTCTCTCAGAATTCTTCTCAGGATGTCAAACGAGATGTATGACCTGAAGTAATTGAAAATATAACAGTGTTTTTCATGGCACACAGAAGCAACACACGGGAGGGGGGAAGGCAACACAAAGAGTCTGCGGACTAGATGCCAGGCCCACTGGGCTGAATCCTACCAAGTGAAGAGGAAGGTGCTTGCAGGCCTTTCCCTTTGTCCAACTCCCAGCCCCTTCTGACCCGTGAAAAGGCAGTGATGAAGGTTGGGGAAGCCTCATTCACAAAGAGAGATATGGGGCTGCGGTGGAGAGGAGGGAGCCAAGCAAAAATCTCCCCTCCTGATTCTTCCCCCTTTTTGGCGCAACAAACTCCACCGGCTTAAGAGGCAGACAGGGATGGTTTTAGTTGGGAGAGGTTTCATATCAGTTCAAAGCCATCTGTTTCTCCAAGAGGGCTGAATCACAGTTTTAAACGGACAGAAGTAAAAAAGCAAAGGTCTGGGCAACCCCCACCAGACTGACAACCCGCACAGCGTAGTGGCCTGACCATGGTGTCAGCTATGCTGCCGTGGGGGTTGGGGAGTTCATTCTGTGTCTTGTTCATTGCTTTTGCATTCCTATCCCTGCTGCTATGCCTTTGCTGTAACGCTTATCTCTACAGATGTGCAGGAGGAGGTTGTGTTGTCTGGAGAACTCCTATGAACCGTGAGAGACTCTGAGTTCTCAGCTTTAGCCACCTAACGGTTGCCTGACTTATCCCGCGTACGGGAGGGTGCCTAATTGGCCAATGCGATGGGGGTGTGTGCACACGAATACCCTATATCCTATTATGCTCTACTGGCTGCGGCCATTCTTAACAGTGCCTGTGTTACTGCATCTATAGCTTTGCAATAAAAGTATAACCATTCCCGAATGCGTGTATTTCATTGTTAGCTGTGGGTTCTGACACATGGTTACAAAACCATGCACAATTATTTCTTGAAAATAAAACGTGGGGCACTCTTTAGGTGTTTAAAAATAAATGGGCCCCGTATAAGGTCATCAGTTATTCAAATACCTTGCATGTCCCATGTGGGAGGCATCATACACTGTCGGACCACAGCAATACCATGTCACCATGTTTCCATTTTGGGGCTGAAACACTTCCTTAGGAGGAATGAGAGGCAGAGGAGTTAGAAGAAGCCAAATGTGTTCCATGCTAGTCTCACAGAAACAACATGCAAGGGGGGTACAGCTCATATAGTCAACAACAAATAAAGAATGACAAAAACACTGTAGATAGTGCAAAAAGCGCTTATAACCTTACAAAATTACAGAAATTCATAGAATCAAAGCATATAATTCAATCTTTATGTAATTCCAATTCCAGAGGGATGAAATTCTCCGGAGTTTAACGAAACGGAAGTTAAACTCCGGAGAATTTTGTCCATCTGGAATTGGAATTACATACAGATTGAATTAGACGCTTTGATTCTATGAGTTTCACAGAAACGGCAGAAGGTATACTGAGCTAAAGTGGCAAACTGTGCTGTGCTTTTACTTTCAATCAGGGCAGCACGACTGACTCACTACTCAACTCAGACATCAAGTTAAACCAAAGAACCTGAGCTACAGATTGAGATGATGTCTGACTATAATTATGGCCGTTGCTTCAGGCTCTGGAGGCCACTAGACCTAAACCAGAAGTGCAAAGCAAAAACTAGACAAGGAGTTCTGAACGGTGGCTTACTTGTACGTTTGGAAGCTCAAAGGTATAATTTGGGTTCCTAACGATGATTAATGCAAATCATAGACTGGTGTAAAGTTTGTACTGAGGTCACTTTTTGTTACAGTAAGATAACTGATAGGCCGTTTCCCTTCTTGATGTCTCATTTCCAAGCCTAGACAGCCTGATAAGTCAGAATGACTTAGGAAGAATGGGCTGTTACCAAGAACAGAAAGATTTACCTTATTACGAGTGAGACTGTTGTACAGACAGAGCTTGGGTTGTTTTGTCCCTTGTGGTGGAGACCAGGGAGGCTGAGTACGCTTGCTTTTACCTAGAAATGATTTCAAAACTCTGGATTAAATGTTCATGAATCATCACCAAACGATACCGTTACAGCAAACAAACTCAAAATACCCCTGCTTGTCATTAGCTATTTCAAAGTGAAAGAATGGCTGGACAGTAATCACTTTCAAAAGAACATTACTGTTTAAAATACATAATGATTTTGGTGGTGCTATTAAAAAAAAAAAAGACTAGCAGCAACACAATGCAGTGCAGAGTTAATCCAGAACTGAGCTTCCACATAAAGAGGAAGGAGCTTGCTAGATATTCAGCACTCCCCCCACCCTTGCCAAGGAGTTCTTCAAGGACACTCTGAAGCAGCTGAAAGAAGCCAATCAGTTCCTGCATGTTCCCGCCAAAAACAAACTGCACAAAATGGAGTTCTGAGGAGGAAACCAGTCTTGAGGTATCAGACTGCTATGAAGCCCAGAAAAAAGAATGTACTGTAAACAATGCCGACGGCATTCCAGTTGCCCTCTAGATCAGTGCATTTTCCTTTGTAAAGCTTCCTTCTAGCATGCTCTTAAATCAACACTTTTGCTATTTGAAACTCGTTGAACATTCCGTCTCTAACCTAGACTCCCGAGCTTCAAAGGACAAATTCAACAAGGAAGTAATTACTCAGAATTTATGAAGTTTCATTGTAGAACCAAACAACTACGCTTTATTAGGACCAGCCAGGATTAAGGGACCATATGCTATATGTGGTAAATTTATTCATTTACCTCCATATTTATTTATATAAAATATTTGTACACTGCCTTTCCGCCCAACGTAGGGTCCTTAAAAGCAGTGAACAATCAAAAGAAAGTTAAAATAGAAATAAATATATATAAGATATTTGAACCAATATAAACACATAGTATTCTTGACTGGCTGGATCCAAAGACAATATCCGGCCAGTGTAAGACATTTTTACTAGCCAAGAAGAGTTTCCCCAAATAACTATAATAAAGCCACTGTATGTCACTCAGCTTACTGTGCCGACTGATATTGCTGGAGGCCACTGTGCCCAGACTTGACTGTATTTAAATATATCTGAGGTTTTCCCCTTGGGTACCTTAAGATCAATATTGCTATATTCCTTTTCTTTTTCCTTAATTATAATGTATGGAAGTGAAACATCTTATTAATCTTTCTTTTGTATCAACTGCACTAGTGAAACTTATTCTGACAGAAGCTAAATATCACAATTTAGATCACTAGTCAGTAAGACCAGGGGTCATTTCCTGCAGGAGCGCACAGGAGCTCCGGCAGTAAAGAGACCAGGGGGCGGGCACATGCAAGAAGCCCTGCCCCCTGCTCCCAGCAGCCCTGGGCCACGAGGAGCAAGAAGCAGCCAGGTAAGTTGCAGTGGGTGTTGCCTTCTGACACACTTCTGGCGATGTCAGCGATTGTGGCTGCGTAAGACTCAATTTAAATCATGGTTTTCTACATAAAGGCTCATTCTTGCTGGCCTTAATATTTACAACCCAGAGAAAGGTTTCATTTTCATATAATAACTTTTCAGGTGAGTTTTGGTTACATCAGAAAAATAATAACTGGTTATTTACCAACTGAAATAGATCTCAAGATTTCTGGGGCATTCTGCTCAAAAAATTTCACTTTCATTTGCACTGTTAGCCCCTCCCTCCTCAGCTTGGATCTTAACATCTCCTTACCCCAGAGGTCATTTCGGGGGGGATCGCGGGGGATTGCAGTTCCCCCGGGTGAGGTACGGGGGCGGGGCACATGATGAAGCCCCGCCCCCTGCTTCTGGCCGCCCCGCTTTTAGCCCTTATTCAGCCAGGAGGAGGCAGGAGAAGAGGGAGGGTAAGTTGCTTCCTCCTTGCCTCTCCCCACCCCTGCCTGCCTGGGGCCAGGGAGGGCCTTCGTGGGGCTTCCTTGCACTCCCGCTGGCCTTGCAGGTCCACCGCCGGGCCCCTCATGGGGCTCGGCAGTGGAGCTCATATGCTAATGAGTTATGCTAATGAGTTCCCCTAGCTCTTTTTCTACTAAACGACCCCTGCCTTACCCAGATCTGTTCCACCCCAAACAATCTTATATTCATTGAACTTCTTGAAACTTAGCCCTTAAGAGATAAAGGGTTGATTCTGTATGCATATACTGAGGTCTCTTAACTCTGTTCTATAATATTTTTGCTGTGAAGACGCATGTGATCTCTGCAGACACAAATTCATGTTTTGAGAACTGTAAAACCAAGCATCTGTGATAATATCTTCCAGATAGAAAAACTGCCCAATATTCTTACAGAAACCTCTGGAAGAGCATGACATTATGAATGGATTAATGGAATTCATTTACCAAAAAATGTAAACATTGCATGAATATACAGCGTTATGCTCCATAACTAAAAATTAATCCTTATTTCATGATGAATAACCGTTGGACTATAATGTATCTTAAATAGAAAACTATCTTTAAATAGACTTTCCTTAAAAAGCATTTTGTTTTTAAAAATCCAATTTAAATTTAAAAATCTGACTATTTTTTAATTGATATTTATTGACTTGACTAAATACATTTTTGTTTAGCTCTGGACATACACGCACTAAACCAACGTCTATACTTTTTTCTCTAGCCATTTGTAAAATTTCAACCAAATATTCTTGAAACTATCTTCCTCTCTCCCTCGAAGCCTCAATGTCAAATTATCCAATTCAGCTATTTCTGTAACTTTGGCTATAAAGTCCTTCATGGATGGCATAATTTCCTGCTTCTACTGTTTAACTAACATCATCCTTGCAGCCGTAAACAAGTGGCTAATCAGATGTTCATCCACCTTTTCCATATTATCAGGCATTATGTTTAGTAAGAATATCTCGGGAGCAAATTGAACTGGTCTGTTAATTATTTGAACCATAGTAGTGTGAATCTCTTTCCAAAAACTTTGAATTTTGGTACACGTCCACCAGGCATGAAAAAATGTGCTTTTTTCAGTTTTACATTTCTCCGATAAGTTGGAATAACATCGTGCTAACACAGCTGGTGCAAGATGCCATCTGTGGAACATTTTTAAAAGATTTTCCTTCATAGGAGTTGCTTTCCTCCTTCTCATATTTTGCCACATTTTTCCCCATTTAGCCCATTCAATATTATGCCCTATATTCCTGGCCCAACTTATCATTGCCGATTTAACTTCCTCGTCTTGCATCTTTTGATCTAATAAAAAATTATAAAATTTACAAATAAGTTTTTCTTCAATCCCCATTACCATCTTATCAAATTCTAAGTGGTCACTGTTATATCCTGTTTGTTTATCTTTCGCCCACCTAGATTCAAGCTGATTTCTCTCCCACCATGATAATGCAATTCCTTGAGTTTCTAGCACATTCTTCGTGTTTAATTTTCCATTTTTATCTAGTAAGTCTCCATGTAGCGTATCTAGATTTGGTCATCAAGTTGGGGCTTGAAAAAGCTTCTAGCAGGGCCACCCAAACTGGAGTTTTAATATAAACTAACTTTTTAATCTTGTTCCAGGTTTTTAATAAGGCTTTCCTCAGCATATGGTTATTGAAGTAAGTATGTGAGTTCTGTTTAGCATACCATAAGAAGGTGTGCCATCCTATGGTCAAATCGTGTCCCTCCAGCTTCAGAATCCTTAAGTCCTTTAATTTAACCCAATCACGGATCCATATCATGGATGCTGCCTGAAAGTATAGGCGCCAGTCTGGTAACGCCAGACCACCTTTTTCAGTTTTCAGTTTTTTCCTGAAGGAGTTTAAGTTTAATTCGAGAATTTTCTTTTGCCAGATAAAGTCCCTTACTATTTTTTCTAAATTACGTATAAAAGTCAAATTGGTAAGAACAGGTATATTTTGAAACAGATAAAGCACCCTTATTTTAAAAAATCGTTTTTTATCGACCCTGATTTTGCACCAGTTCTATATAACATCAATCTGCCTGCTTACAGACATGAGGGTTCTAAACCACAAATGCAGCTGGCCCATCTAAAAAGGCTTTCCGATTCATTTTAGTGCAGGAGTTCACTCTATGCATGCATTCCATTTGAACAATCAGGCCCTTGAAGCACGCATGTGCATAACCTTCAAAGGTGCACAAGAGTATATTTAGGGACAGTGCTTTCTGTTTAAATTTCCTGAGGTTATAGTAAAGCAAGTTTTGTTCATTATTACGTTCTACATCCAACAGAGATTTGTTTTTGTTCTATATTCTTTCACTGTTACAAAACAATAATAAAAACCATATGGCAGATTTTATCAGGAATTATTCAAAAGAAGCTTGAGACATGAACCAACAAAAAGTCAGTGATAGCATTTTTTTTTTTAGGGGGGGGGGTATAAAATTGTGTAATCAACCTTGAGTCTCAGTGAGAAAAGCAGACTATAAATGAAATTTAAAAAAATAAATGGGTTTAGGACTAAATGGTTTGAAACACTGAGATAACTACAAGAAACACTGGCCAGGATCCAAAGAATTACTTTATGTGTATTCATGGACCTCAGCATGACCAGTGGGATTTTTAGCTTTTTGCTTTGAGTAGCAGATCTTTGAGCCATATTAAATGTTTCCAAGAGCCTTTCCCATTTTGAAACCAGTTTTGCCATGTGCCACAGAGGCTGCAGTAGAAGCAACACAAACCCCCAAAGCCCCTGGGGGGGCACAGAGTTAGTTACATAGTTTTTTGGAATAACCTGGCAGGTACGCAGAATACAAGCAAATATGCAGTTTCTACATAAACATCGATCTCTTTGTTTCAGACTCTGTATTTTGTCTAGGGCTGCCAAGTGGGGGCGGGGGGCGGGTAAACCCCCGCTTCGGAGGGCCGATTCCCGCCCCCGTGGAATTGGGCCCCGGGGGGAACTCCGCCCCCGAAGCGCAGCATGGCTGCGTCACCAGAGGTGACGCAACCACATCGATCATGTTGGGGGCGTGGCCCCAATCGTCGGAGGGAAAACTCTATGGAAAACTCTATCGGGGCCACGCCCTCAACGTGCTCAACGTCGCGCGTCACTTTCGGTGATGTGCTGGCGGCGCGCATGACAGCTCCCGGCGAGGCTCCCCCGCCAGTAAGACAAAATTACTTGGCAACCCTAATCTTGTCTCACGTGCACAGAGCTGGGATGGAGGAAAAAAATCTAACAGAGTTGAAACTATTTCAGGGTGCCCTTACCGGGGCTGAACACACATTGTAATCAAACGCATACAAAGAATCTTGCTCAGTAGGGTCAAAAGGCACACAAAGTGATTCCTGAAAAGCATTATCAGAAGAAATCTAAAACTAGAATCCTGACGTTCTCCCAGCTTGCCCTCTTGTGTCCTCAGAGAAAATGCTGGCACTCAGTTCAATTCTTAGAAAGTCTGATTTAAACTGACCACCATAGATAGTCTCTTACAAAAGCAATGCAAGATTTTGTAAGTAGCCCTTGACACACACTTTTCTATAGTAGGGGCTGAAGCCAGGGCCGGCTCACTCAGGCGAACTACGCGATCGCCTAGAGCAGGACGGCCCTTAGGGGCACCAAACTGCACCCGGCCCTGTACTCTGGGAGTTTCTTGATTATTTGTGTTTTTCATTCTTCCTAAAATGCATTTATTTTTGACAACTGGTGGGTGCACGGGGCCCCAGAAGGGATCCTCGCCTAGGGCGCAAAATAAGCTGGAGCCGGCCCTGGCTGAAGCACTGAAAATCTAGGGCAGATATAATTGGTAGGGTGTGTGAGGGCACGCCTGCAGCTAGCCAAGCAGTGACACTACTTAGAGTCATTACAAGTAGGTAAATTCTTGCTTGTCAGTCCTGAGGAAATATACACCATGTAATAAAGAGTCTGTCCCTCAGTTTCTTTCTTGTTCACGTCTGGCTATAAGACTACTGGGAAGAAGGGCCTGTAGAATACATTTTATGGAATGTTACTGATGGAACCCATCCTAGAGAGAGTTCATTCCCTAGCACCTTGACAGGGAAGTCTGGTCAGCTAAAGCCTCATCTGTAAGAGAATGGCAGAATTAGCCAAAAGCCAAAATGCAAAGTCATGCTAGCTCACACTATGTCCCGCTAAAGCGTGAGATTATTACTCCCAAATTCATTTTCCGGGGCTTCTACTGAGACACTGCCATCTATTATTTACTTACTGCCTAAATGTCACTAATCACCACAACAGTAAATTTTAATTTAGTCGTATAAATAATTAGTTAGGGGGCAGTCATATATCCCTGCTCCCACTTACCATGCTACACTTTCTCCTTCCCCCTTATTACATTAAAGTGTCTTGGAAGCAGGGGCGGATTAAGGCTCTTACAAAAGCAATGCAAGATTTTGTAAGCAGCCCTTGACACACACTTTTCTATGGTAGCCCTAAGCACTGACCAATCTTGGTGCCCCCCCCCTTCCTTTCCACACTGACCCAGTCCATTTTAGTTGTTGACCAGTCTGACCAGATACACAGTGCAGGTTGCAGCAATACAAAAATTTATTCATATGATCACACAATAGACTGTACAAACTAAGCTTTTTCACCCTTTCCCCAACTTTGTGGTGCCCTTTGGCCCTGGTGCCCTAAGCACGTGCCTAGTCCGCTTAATGGTTCATCGGCCCCTGCTTGGAGGTGACTTGCAGAAAACACCATGAGTGCATGCAGATCTCTCCCCCACCCTTTCCCCCTTACTTAGCATTAAGGAGTCAGTGTTTCACAACAGCGCAGCCCTATGCACAGTGACACCAGTCGAAGCCCAGTGATTTCAATAGGCTTAGACTTGAGTCTCTCCACAAAGGAATGCATTGTAGATGTGCTAAGCAGGAAGAGACAGCCAGAGACAACAACCCGGCCAGCCTCTGACACTTGGGGGGGGGGGTTGTTTCGATATTGCACTCTTATCTTTCAACATCGAAAGGAATGGTGTCTGCAAGTCCCTCAAAACATACGGCTGGGCAGCTCAGACAGAGGCAGAATAACTTCTGATCAGGAATAATCAAATGTAGAAATGAAACATGTCATGGACTCCCTGCCCACTAGCCCCTGCCATTACTCACTTGTTTGGAGTTGACAGGAGTCATGCCTTTCATTGCTGCCATCATAGATTGCTTCTATGTGCCTGTACCAACGAACCACGTGGAAGTGCGGGTCCCCAGGTGGGCTCGGAAGCTGTCTGAAAACTTCCACATCTGCCTGGGAAAATGTGAACCCCTGGATATAACTACGAGTGCTGAGGTACTCATTCAGAGCCTTCCACCTGGCTTCCTCTTCACTAACGCTCAGAATGTAACTGTAGTCAGAAGCTGCAAAGACAGAGGCAGATGAGAAGCAGTCAGATCTCCTTGCTCAAAAGCAGCCTGAAGCAAAGGATCCCTCAGTCGAGGTTAGGACCTTAAGAGCTCTACGGAGCGGCAGCAGCTAGGCCATGCGGCACGACCAGGGGTCATTTCGTAGAAAAAGAGCTAGGGGGACTCATTAGCATAACTCATTAGCATATGCCACACCCCCTGACATCACCGGAAGTGTGTCCTCCCCACAGCCGGCGGCGACCTCCAGCGGGCACCAGCAGGGAGCTCCAGGCCCCGCCCTCCCGCACCTCACCCGGGGGGATGGCGTCCCCCCGCGTCCCCCCCCAAATGACCCCTGGGCACGACACAGCAGAGCAGTCAAAGCGACACAAGTTAAAAAGCAACAAACACAACCAAAAAGCAGAGAAGTTTTTTTTCCTTGTTAAATTAACCTAAGTCGCATGTGGTGGGTAAACTGCCTCCAGGTGACCAGCCAGGAAACATCAAGACCTGTAAAGGTCAGAATAGGAGAACATCACAGTTGCATTAGATTGCAGAAACGCTCTGCACCATTAGTGAGCCATTATCTGGAGAAGGGTTGCACGGACAAACAGCTAACATTTTGGATTATTGAGACTGTACAGACTACCAACCCGAACATGTGCAGAGTGCTCCTGAGAAGAGAGTTATTTTGGATTCATCAATTGCAGACGTGGGCTCTTTTTGGATTGAATGAAGATGTGGACTGGACTTGCTGTTTATGAACATCTGTATCTGCTTTCTGTAAAGAATTTTTTACTGATATGTCCCCCCCCCCCTCTCCCTAAGATGTTCCTGGTCTCTCTCTCTTTCTCTCCTCTCTACCCCCTCCCATCTTGCATCTCACCTGACTGGCATGGTGCAAGGTTAATTGGTGTTTGCATCACCTCAGAATGAGTACATATGGTAGCTATTACAGCAGCCTATAACAGAATCCTTACCTTGATGGAATGACACACATTCAGACTTTTGCAATCTCAGTACCAGGTTTGTTGGCCAATTTAATTTTTATGGCTATTAGGCTACTTTAAATATAATAATTGGAACTACTAATAATATAATAATTTTACTATTTCATCTCATGGTTTTTATTTAGAATAATTGGAATGAATATGGCCATACCTAGGGCCCATCATTAATACCAGCAACACAATTGCAAACATTTAAGGTAATTCTAGTTTTACAAAAAAATCAATTGTTTAAATTAATAAGGATTTGGTATACATTCATGCAGGGGTCGTTTCGTAGAAAAAGAGCTAGGGGAACTCATTAGCATAACTCATTAGCATATGCCGCACCCCCTGACATCACCGGAAGTGTGTCATAAGGCCACACCCCCTGACATCACCGGAAGTGTGTCATAAGGCCACACACCCCGCCCCCAACGGTCCATGCCGCCACCGCCGGCCTTGCAGCTCCACTGCCGAGCCCCACAAGGGGCCTGGCGGTGGACATGCAAGGTCGGCGGGAGTGCAAGGAAGCCCCGTGAAGGCCCTCCCTGGCCCCAGGCAGGCAGGGGTGGGGAGAGGCAGGGAGGAAGCAACTTACCCTCCCTCTTCTCCTGCCTCCTCCTGGCTGAATGAGGGCTGGAAGCGGGGCGGCCGGAAGCAGGGGGCGGGGCTTTGTCATGTGCCCCACCCCCTGTACCTCACCCAGGGGAACTGCGATCCCCCGTGATCCCCCCCGAAATGACCTCTGCATTCATAATAATAATTTGAGTTTCCTTTCCCCTCTTTTCTCCCCCTTCTATTTTTATAATTTCAGGATACAACATCTGGTCTTTAAATAAGTATACATATGTTTGAATGTGTGTCTATACTATGTTGTATAGTGACCACTGAGGAAGGCCCTTTGAGGCCGAAACGCGTTTGGTCTTCAGTTGGAAAGTGTTGACCCATCATGTGTATTAATAATTGATATGCTTTTATTAGTCTGATACTTGGAAAAAAAAATGTAACCCGAATATATTTTAATATGTGTACACCTTAATCAATTTTGTATTTTTATAATATATATGGTCAGCTTAACCCTTCTGGTTCGCAGTACAAATTACTAGACACACAGATGTAAGGGCAGGCCAGCTAGTCAAAGCTGTTATGCGTTAGCCTTATTTACAAGCCTGGAGCATTAAAAAAAAAATAACACCACGGTCATTCATAACAAGTTTGCCATAATAACTGGTTCAAAATCATTTGTCGGGCACATTTCCTCTCTTTCAACATTATGGGAAATCCTGGATTTAATTCTTAAACGTACACAGATCATTCTGCTGCAGTTATGAACTGGAAAACTGAATGTTACCAGGAAGTAGGTAACACTTTTGACCTTTGACAACCCCACCTGCCCTGGGAAGGTTTTTGGCATGCCGACAAATGGGAGGAGGGAGGGAGAGACAAGGAGTGCACTTGGCCAGACACTGTGGGAGGAAGCTAAACTAAACCCCAGCAACACTGTGAGTGCCGCAGGGGCTCAACTCAGTGCCAGAGTAGTGTCTGGGCGGGTTGAAGAGACAATAATGGGCATGAGATGCGCTCACAGCCTTCTCCCGTGCCACTATACTCAGCAGGGGCCATTTCGTAGAAAAAGAGCTAGGGGAACTCATTAGCATAACTCATTAGTATATGCCACACCCCCTGACATCACCGGAAGTGTGTCATGAGGCCACACCCCCTGACATCACCGGAAGTGTGTCATAAGGCCACACACCCCGCCCCCAACGGTCCCGGCCGCCGCCACCGGCCTTGCAGCTCCACTGCCGAGCCCCATGAGGGGCCCGGCGGTGGACCTGCAAGGCTGGCGGGAGTGCAAGGAAGCCCCGCGAAGGCCCTCCCTGGCCCCAGGCAGGCAGGGGTGGGGAGAGGCAGGGAGGAAGCAACTTACCCTCCCTCTTCTCCTGCCCCCTCCTGGCTGAATGAGGGCCAGAAGCGGGGCGGCTGGAAACAGGGGGCGAGGCTTCGTCATGTGCCCCGCCCCCCGGACCTCACCCGGGGGAACTGCGATCCCCCGCGATCCCCCCCGAAATTACCTCTGATACTCAGGGGTCCTGCTATTGGCTTCAGGGGCTTGCCTCAGATGTTTGGGCAGAGAAACAAGACGGCCAGCCAAGCAGAGTAGCCCGACCATAAAGGCCCCCTAAAGCACAAACTTGCCTAAAGTGCCAAAAAGCCCACCCCACACTGAGATGTTCCTCCTTGGGCCAAGTTGGCAAATGGGGGGGGGGGGGTTTGTCCCTTCTCAACAGGAAACTAGAAGCTCCATTTGGGGCAGCAGAGCGAGGAGGTTCAAATAAATTGAGAAAATAAAAATCCCCTTCCTCTCGCTCTTAAAGATTGTATTGTTTCCTGCCTGATCCAATTCTTGCTGTGACTCTGAGAGCATTTTTCTACCTCAGATGACCAGTTTTGCCTTTTATACTTCCACTTAATCCAAACGGTCCAAAAAGTATGGTGGTGGTGGATAAATAACTATGTTCTGTATCCTGGCGGGTAGACAGACATTAAGAAGAAGTTCTGTCCTGAAAGCTGGAAATATGGTTCCACTTTCCACACAATCTTTGATTAGAGGCAAGCCTTATCAGGTCTACGCAGAAGAAGTTCCATTTTACTTAATTGGATTTACTCCTACAAAACCATTCTGAGGATTGCAGACTTTGAACTGACCTACTCAGAATCTTTACTATGCAAAATTGTAATCTATTCAATGTGAGAAAAAGCTGAAATAGGTTTTAGATCATTAGTGAGGGGGTCAAGAGATAGTACTAGAAACAGTTAACTTCTTACCAGTTACACAGATACTTCTTGGATTGGCCACCATCTCAACAGAGCTCAAAACAGCTTCAAAACCTTGTCTCAAACTACTTATTACCCTATTTGTGAAAGCAAAAGCACATAAAGCAAAGTTCAAGATATTTACACAAACTGATGGCCTAGTGCGAAAAGGCAACAAACCAAATATTATGTTGAATTAATGAAGGGTTTTTTAAAAGATCAATTAAAATAGCAATTTTATTTTTACACTGTCCATGTCAAATTCCAAGTAAACGGAACTAAACATTCATTCTAATCTTTCCATTTTCCCCTCTCTATTGAAGGTGGGTGCCAAAGGCATAGCCACCTAGGGCACTAGAAACCCTTGGGGTGGCCAACACAGCAAGCAACATGGTCTGAGGTGCTTCTGTTTGCCTTGTGTACTAGGAAATGCTTGCCCTTTGCCCAAATTAAGGCTCAGAACTGAACTATGTGAGACTATTTTTTGAGAGTCAGGTCTGGGTTCCCCCAACCTATTGTTCACACCATCAGCTGCACATCATGCTACTAGGCATGCAGCTCCCCCATGGGGCTAATATCTCCCCCAGGACTGCTTCAGAATGAGAAAATGGTACGGATAGAAGGATGAATGAAATCCCCTTCTTCCCATGTTCTGTGGTCTCTGTGCTACTCAAGGCTCACTTAGGAACTGAGTTCCCAACAATGTGATGTTTGGCTGGTTTTTGTGCTGGGTTGAGGGAACATGACACTAAAAAAAAAAATCAACTTGTGGCCCTGTCCTGGGTAGCCCAAGGAAGCCCCATCTTGTCAGATATTGGAAGCTAAGCATGGCCAACCCTGGCAAGTATTTGGATGGGAGACCTCCAGAGAATACCAGGGCCAGGAGGCCAGAGGCAGCCTATCAAGCCACGTCTCTGAATGTCCTCCATGCCCCAGTAGGAGTCACCAGAGGTTGCCATAACGTCTGGGCACGAGCCCACACACACACTTGCAAAAATACCAAAAGGGGGGGGGGGAATCAACTTGTATATTTCAGCCTGCATGACCGCTGCAGCCAAACCCTGATCTTCAATTTATGAATCCATACCATACTCAGGGGTCATTTCCTGCAGGAGCGCACAGGAGTGGAGCTCCAGCAGTAAAGAACCCAGGGGGCGGGCACATGCAACAAGCCCCCTGCTCCCAGCAGCCCCAGGCCATGAGGAGCAC